TCTCAGCAGCAGCACTGCAGGTGCTCTCCATGTCCAACATGTGCGTAAGCCAGGTCCTTAGTCAACTTAAAGATGCGCACATTTTCCCGCTAAGTTTTCTTTCATAAATCCCAAAGTTTGCGTGGAAAGTTGCTTACGCAGTTTCCCGACCCCGTACTGTGCGTAAGCAAGCTTGATAAATGAGGCCCCCGATCTTTACATCGGGGAAACTAAACAACAATTACACAAAGGCATGGCACAACACAGGAGAGCCACGTCTTCAGGTCAAAACGCTGCAGTCCACCTACAGCTGAAGGACAAGGGACACACCTAAGAAGATGACAAAGTACACATTCTGGACAGAGAAGATAGATGGTTTGAGAGAGGAGTAAAAGAAGCCATCTATGTCAGACATGAAAACCCCACTTTAAATAGGGGAGGGGCTTAGATTTCACCATTCCAGCACCTATAACGCAGCTTTGAATCTCATTCCTAAGCCGTTTTAGTCTAGGTCACACCTTCCTGCATCTAATCAACACAACTCCCTCTCAATAGAGGCCAACGACTCATCGTATGTGAATGTGTGTGAAAGGATGAATGATACAATGTAGTTACTCTGAGAGGCCCTATACAAGAGCGGGTCATTTATCATTTATCGGGGGGTACCCAGAGTAGTTTCTGCTCGTTAAATAACAATAGACAGAAATTAAACATCAACATGTTGGGTCCAGGAAAAACCAGACCGTAATCCCACTAACTAGAAACTGGTTAACAGCAGGTCAGGGTGAACTACAGAGGTAAAAACAAAAAACTGATCCAAAAATGATGACTCAATGAAAGGAAATGTTGTTAAAATCCTCTAAAAGGAAATGCTCATAACTATATTTAAGTGAAAATCAGACAAAAAACGTTGTCAAACTTGTGTCATTCTAAAAACCTTTGGCCAAAACCTTAGGCAGAATTCATAGCAGGGTGTTGCATTCAACAGAACACATTTTAAAAATTAAAAAGTCTGAAAGAAAAAACTCACGGAGGGAGAAAACTGATGGTTTTTATTCAAACAAATTTGTTTCAAAATGCTCCAATGTTTTTTTTTTTAATCTTAAAACCAATTCTGTAGTTTTTACTCTCAAACTTTGGGACTTTTAAAATGAGCTTCATATTCAAAAGCTGTTTTTCTCCCTAGTGCTGAAAAACAAAAGAATCAGTCAAACAAGACGGCTGCTCCAAGCATCAAAGAGCTGCACTAAGCTAAAAAAACAACTAAAAACCAAAAACAGAGAAGCAGCTAATAAAAAGATGTAAGATGTCATCACATACCTTGTACTAACAATCTGGGCTGTAGGTAAGCTGTGTGAAATCGATGCAACAGCTGAATGAATTTGCAAAATGTGTTTTTTTTAAATCAGAAAACAAAAAAGTAAACAAGAGTGTGCAGAAGAGCTTCTTTATCCAGTTCTAACAAAAGTCACCCAAACTCATTGAAATATTCTCTCATTGATTCTTCATGAACCAATCACATGTCAGTTCTCCACCAAGCTTCATCAAGGATTCAGGGTTCAATTTCATGAAAAACATAAGAGTCAGTGATCTTACCTCTGGTTTGGATTTTATCTGAGTGAGCAATATGTGAGAAAATACAGGACAGGGTCTCAGAGTGTTTACATGTGCATCAGTAAACTGAACTATTGCCTTAAATAGACCGGATTTTTAACATATATGTACCCCAAATTCCACTACCTCCGCTCCGGCATGAACTCCAGAGCAAAATCGGTCCCGTTCTAGTCAATCAGAGCTATTCCACTACTGCGGCCGTGCTCCGCCCTCTGTTCCGGCGTCCGGCAAAAATAGAATCGATCCTATTTTCGCCGGACGCCGGAGCACCTCCGCAGTAAATGAAAAGAAATCACAACCGCCCAACAGGAAAAGGAGCAAGCACAACTTCCGTTTTTCACAATAAATCGATAAACAAAAGGCGTTTTTTGTTTCATATGCACAGGTTTAACAACTTTTAACAACTATCAATGGCGGCTGAAGTTTAAATGCACAAAAGTAAGCTATAAATACAGTTTCTACTATCAAAGTAGTCACACTTTGTTGATCCAAACACTGCTGATCTCTCAACACAAATGATGGGCAGATTAAACAGTTCATTTCGATGCTTCTCCCACACAACGGGTGTTTGGATCCAACTTCCGCGTTTATTGCTCGGACTGTATCGCAAGATCTCGAAAATCCCGCGCATGCTTGTTTGCCCACCTCAGGTCTCCGCACCGGAGCGGAGCCGTTGTAGAGCGGGTACCAGTAAAATTTGAGTTCGGAAGCGAGCGGCTGCGGAAGGCGGGGACGGACCGGAGCGGAGGTAGTGGAATGCGAACTGGTTCTAATTGAGCAGAAACTCCCTGATAATGCGATTGGACTACCTATGCATGTAAATGGTTCAGTTGAGCAGTGATCAGTTGTACACTCATCTTCATGAAGTGCCAAGACCACATGACATCACTGCTACAAAGCAACCTATATAACGCCATCAAACAGTACAGTACGTACCGAATAAGCTGTGCTGCAACGTTGTTGTCCGTTCCTTTGGCCAATGTGCATATGCTGTTTGAACTTCGTCTGCTTCACTCCTGCCAGCATTTGCTTACCATTTGTGCTGCTATAAGCTAAACAGAAGAATACCGACACAAAGGGCCCCCTGAGGGACGCGGTTGAACACCTTAGCCAAATCCACAAAAAAAAATGAAGATTGGTTGGGCAAAGTCTTCCATGACACCCATAAGGGTACAGATCTGGTCCAGTGTTCCACAGCCAGGAGAAAAACCACATTGCTCCTCCTGAATCTGAGGTTCGACAATCCGAGGGACCCTCCTCTCCAGAACCCCTGAATAGACCTTAGCAGGGAGGCTGAGGAGTGTGATCCCCCTGTAGTTGGAACACACCCTGCAGTCCCCCTTTTTAAATAGGGGGACCACCATCTTAGTCTGCCAGTCCAGTGAACCTGCCCCCGGTGTCCACGCGATATTGCAGAGCCATGTTAGCCAACACAGCCGTAAAACATCCACAGCCTTAAGGAACTCCAAGCAAATGTCTTCCACCCCCAGCGCCTTGCCAATGAGGAGTTTTCTGACAACCTCAGTGACCTCAGCCGCAGATATTGGAAAATCCAACCCAAAGTCCCCGGACTCTGCTTCCTCAGTGGAAGACGAGCCATTGGGATCGAGGTGGTCTTCGAAGTACTCCACCCACGATCCACAACGTCCTAAGTCGAGGTCAGCACCACACCGTCCCCACCATAAACAGTGTTGGTAGCGCATTGCTTTCTTCTCCTAAGGCACTGGATTGTGGACCAGAATCTCCTTGAAGCCATGCGAAAGTCGTGTTCCATGGTTTCACCAAACTCCCCCCACACCCAGGTTGTTGCCTCTGCGACCACCCGAGCCGCATTCCGCTTGGACTGCCAGTACAGATCAGCCACCTCTGGAGTACCACAGGCCAAAAGGACCTGATAGGACTCTTTCTTCAGCTTGACAGCATCTCTAACCGCCAGTGTCCACCAGCGAATTCAGGGGTTGCCGCCACAACAGGCACCAACATACCTGCGGCCACAGCTCTGGTCTGCCGCCCCAACAATGGAAGCAAGGAACAGGGTCCATTGGGACTCAATGTCCCCCGCCTCCCTGGAATGTTTTGGAAGTTCGGTGGAAGGTGGGAGTTGAAGCTTCTTCTGACAGGAGACTCTGCCAGACATTCCCAGCAGACCATCACAATAAGTTTGGGCCTTCTAGGTCTGACCGGCATCCTCCCCCACCATCGGAGCCAACTCACCACTAGATAGTGGTCAGTTGACAGCTCCGCCCCTCTTTTCAACTGAGTGTCCAAGACATGCAGCCGCAGGTCAGATGAAACAACAACAAAGTCGATCATCGAGCTGCGGCCTAAGGTATCCCGGTGCCAAGAACACATATGCACACCTTTATGCATGAACATGGTGTTCATTATGGACAATCCATGACTGGCACAGAAATCCAATAACAAAACACCACTCAAATTCAGATTAGGGAGACTGTTCCTCCCAACCACACCTCTCCAGGTCTCACTGTTGTTGCCCACGTGAACGTTAAAGTCCCCGAGATGAACGAGGGCGTCACCGGAAGAAGAGCTCTCTAGCACATTCTCTAAGGTCTCCAAAAGGGGTGGGTAGTCTGAGCTGCAGTTTGGTGCATAAGCACAGACCAGTCAGGACAACTTACAAGCTTGTAAGTGAATGTGCCTTGGTTCACTTTTGCTTGTGTTGCTAAATCTGAAGGCTACAAGCTAGGCCGTTTTCCATACCTGACCCACAGCTCAAATTTCAGCATATGTGCTGCAGCAAGGTTTATGACCCCAAGCTGAGACGAAAAATTAAGATTGCTCTTAAATTTTTGTAAATTTATCTGCAATAAGATGTGTTAGACACATATGTTTGAATTGTTATAAGGAAGTTATGCCAGATGCACCACTGAATATCTGCAGCAGTTGTGAAATGTTTACAATAACAGTGACTAAAATAGACGTATTTATGGAAATCAAGATGATGTCAATTTATAACATTATATTACTAGAAGTGACACACCAAGTCATGCAGGTGCAAATAAGAAGTCTATTAAGTCTTTTATTTTAAAAAATGATGTCTTCTTCAACAGAACTGCCCTGTAGACAGACATCTGTAGCAATGAGTATGTCACGTTCTTTATTGTCCAATAGCTTTAGGACACAGTTTGAAAGACTACCGTAGATTACACCCCACAACTGAGCTCTGACATATTCAAATATATAGGATGGCTTGCCTGGTTATTTCAGGCCTGGATCCTTGATGAACAGAAATCGTAGGAAATCTGATAAATATTGACATATTTTGTGCCAAATCTTGTATCTCCAGAACTCTGGAGTTGGTAAAAGTCACCATAACTGACAGAATATGAGCAACGTGCCACTGTAATCTCTGTGTTGATTTAAGAGTAAACTGTGTACACCCTCACCAGTTCCAGAAGCTGTGTCTGGAGAAAAAAGACCTGGGCTCAAACACATAAAGCTTCAACAGGATCTCCAGCATGTAGAGTGCCAGGAAGCCCCATTCTGAGTTGGAGATCAGGGGATTCTCCTCATCCAGACCAATGAACACTGCATTCACCAGGATGATCAGGTCAAAAGCAATCACAAAGCCTCTGAATACACACAAAAAAGGAATGTTTTGTTCAGAAAGTGCAAAAAAATAATTCATCTCTACAGTTGTTCATTCATGCTTCTAGACGACAATAAGTCACTGAGTTCTGTGCTCCTCACCGGTGTTGGACCAATCGGCAGATGAGCCGGCTCGGGGCTGACAGGTAAATGGTGGGAAACAAATTTTGAAGTGGGTGTGGTCTTGACTTGAGTGTGATCACCTCGATGTTCAGGAGGTCAGCTAGTTGGACAAACGCCACCTTGCCTTAACAGAAACAAACATTAGAAAATTACATCAAGCCTGTAAACAAAATTATTTTTTAAAAATCATTAGTACGTTGTTAGCATTAAGCAGTGCTGCAGTATGTTTACTTAAAAACTGTAAACCAAGTCTGTGAACAGGTGAGAAAGTACACATTTGGAGTACACGATCTCAAGTAAACGCCTCAAAATAAAAACTAACTTTCTTTCATGGCATGTTGGGACTTTCACTTGACTGTTTTCACACAATCACAGTAGTTGGATCATTTTGGGATATTTTTCGTTTAAATGTGTTTAATCAATACATTTGCACTGGTCTCTAGTAGAAATGAATGCCTTGTAAGGCTGGAAATATGCTTGCTATTTGCCAATGCTTATGCATGTTTAAAATGGCTGCCATGCATAACTTGAGTTGATTGAAAGGGTCGTTTGTGTGCGTCCCTCGAAATGATCACAACGCGGTTGAATGCTGCAATATATGAGTAGCCAGTAGGTGGAGCTGACAAAACGAGCAATGGTAATTTCGTCTCTGGTTTAGAGGTCTTTCATACAATATACGACACCGCTGCTATCTTAATATCTGCCGTGATCTCAAAATAAACTAGTTACTGATCTCTTCTATTCACATCATGTTCGCTTTGGTTGTACCCCACTAACCCAACTCTCTATCCGGTCTGAGTACTCTATTGTGCCCCCCAGCCGAATCCTCCAGTACTACGTGTAGTGCAGTGCCACACAGCAGCTAGTGCGTGAACAAAGACGCAGCCTGCGCCGACAAGAGGTTGAAAAGCAAGTATATTCCAAGATCTTGCAAGGTGGAAATCCTTACCGATATCACTCATGGGGAGAGTTGCTACAATTAAAATGATGGTCTTACCCAGAATAAATTATTTATTTTCAACGATCCCAAACAAGCCACCAGCTGACTGGTTTAAATCTCTGGACCCCTCAATTACTAAATTCCTTTGGCAGGATAAACCTCCACGAATTAGCTTAAAAACGCTTCAGAAGACCAAAAACAGAGGAGGACTGGATCTACCCAACTTTTATTATTATTTCTTAGCCAACAGGCTGCAATATATACCAAGATGGTTGCAAGATAACCCACTAGATGAGTCCTGGTTAGATATTAAACAGACACGTTGCAATACGATAGAGCTTTCAGACTTACCATTTATTAGCTCAAGATAAGAAAACACGGAGGCTTCAAAAGTATTAGTATCAGCACCTCTCTGACAGCATGGTGGGAGTATCTAAAAATGACAGAACCTTCACTAGTACCATGCAGACGCACACCTATCTGGAATAATCCTGACATTTTGCAAAATAACCAAATGATGAACCTTCCGGACTGGAAAAATAAAGGAATCCTTTACCTGGAACAAATATATGAAGGATTGGACATAATCCCATTTAACAGAATAGTCTCCCAATTTGGAATAGATAAGAATAGCTTTTTAGAATATCACCAAATTAAATCTGTAGTTAAACAAAAATTTAAGCTTAATAAAGTAGAATTACAAACACCACGAAGGGTATTAGACTTCTGTAATCTCAAACACCCCAAACTACTGGGGTTTGTGTCTTCTGACACCTGTTCACACTGCACAAACAACATTCCTGACAATTACATCCACGCACCGTGGTCCTGTCCACTTGTCCAGGATTTTTGAGGTAGAGTGTGTGAAGACATGTCAAAGTGTCTGAAATGGCATACCCCAACTTCCTCCTCTCTTTGTTTACTGGGAAATCTGGACGATGACCCGAGTTAAACACCTTTGGTTCACGTGGTTCTGACTGCCATATGCATCGCTAAGAAAACCATCCTCATGAATTAGAAAAACAGACCGGGACCAGAGTGAATAGGGTGTGTATGGGAAGCGTGAGTGAGAGTCTAGTGTTCATTTCTGTAAGTCTTAGGTTGTATGTGTATGTGTGAGCATGAGGGAGGGAGTGTGTGTCAGTGTATGGCTGTCAGGTGGGGTCTTGGACTCCTCCCCTCTCCTCGGACTTCTTGCGCTACAAAACATCTTAGCCTACCCTCCCCCTGCCACATTTGGTGTGAAGTGTGGTGCCTTGGTCTGCCTGAGTGTTTGCGGCTCCCGGGTCAGGGGTTTAAGATTTTTGGAGTCTGCCTGGTCGATCCCGGTGGCTGCCTGGTGGGATCCGAGTCCCTGGGCTCTGTTGGGTCCCCGGCGGGTCGCCCGTGGGTCCCAGGTCACTGGGTTCCGGGCTCGGCCGGCTTGGGGGTGGGAGGCTGCGGGCAGGCCTGTGGGCTTGCTGCTGATATCTCCCGGCACTCTGCCGGCTGCTGGTTGGGACTCCCCGGGGCAATCCTCTGTGCCTCTCGAGGGGGGCAGGGGCTTTTCTGGTTACAGTCTCCCTGGGGTCCCTGCGCTCTGGGACAGCTCCTGGATCTCTGGGACTTGGAGCTCCCTCCATCTCTTATACATCTTTGTGGGCAGATCTGTGGCCCTTCACACTCACTATTGGATGCTCCTACAGAGAAACCTTACATAAACAAGCGTGTGTACACACACAGGTGCTCACATGGTCCATAAGTATGGACTTGGGCATTTTCAACACATGTCTTAAGGCTGTGGTTGGCACTAAATGCACTGTGATTTATTATTGTGATTGTTCAGTAAAACAATGTTCATTTTATATTTCCTCACAAGGTTGACGCAGTGATAGCTTGCTCCTGTTGTATTGTTGTGTGTCCCCCTTTTTTTGGTTTGTTTTTCTCTTTCTGCAGGTCTAGAAGCAGACTCTTGTTCATTATTGATTGTTTACTTTTGTGGGCGTGAAATGTACTATGTGACACTTAGCTTCCATTGTGGTAGAGGAGTTCTTTCCACCAAGCCAAATTGGGATCACTACAGAGTAATTTGAAGGACATTTTTGTTCACAGTGTTAGTTGGATTCATTCACTTAATGTGTTTTATGCTAAGCTAAAGCTTAAGCAGTACAGGGTGGGCTGGTTAAAAAGTTTTTTCTCACTTATCTAACTCCGGAAATTTGTCAAAAGACAACATTTAATTTTTGGGTAGAATATCCCTTTAAGATCAGGTTAGAATCACAACGTAAAACCTACTGTTCTACAATTTCACTGAATTCAGCATTTCTCAAGACCAGTTGAGATGATTAGATTCTGTTGGGATAAAAAGTAAATGCTGCTAAATGTGTGAACATGAATTTACATGTTACGCACATCCGAGGTGTACTGGATGACAGAGCAGTTTGACTTCCTCCATGCAGACAATAACTGAGAGGAAACATGAATCAGCAGTGTGAGGAGGATGTGAACAAAGCTTCTCCTTTAAGAGACTTAAATGAAAGCAAACAAACTTTTCGGTTATTTGTTTTAAATAACTGAAAGACAAAAGATAAAAGATTTGCCAAAGATGCAGTTTCAGGTTCCCACAGAACTCTAGACGTTCTACATCTGAGGTGTGCTTGCCAGAGAAGGCCTGACTGCCATTGGGCACCGAGACGAGTTACTCAGGCTCCTTGTGAGACCATATGCTGATGGGGTTGGCTCTGGGTCCTTTTGACTCTTGGTCAGCTTGCTTCTTGCCTAAACCCTCTGTCGGGAATCTTGGTGCGAACTTTGACCCTGGATTCTCATGTCAGTTCTCTTGTTTGTATTTTTTTCATCTTAGGAACATTGCCAAGCTGAGACCCATTTGGTCCCGCTCTGAATTAGAGATTGCTATTCACACCTTCACGAGTTTTGTGCACTGCCCGCTGCTCCTCGTTTCACATCAGGCGAGAATTTCCAACGCGCGCTTCTGCTCACGCGTACTGTTTGTGCTGTAAACAAAGAATGCTTCCAGAAATATAAATTATTGTTTATTTTTATCAGTTTACAAAATATAAAGTGAGTTACCCCAAACATCCAGCCAAAACCATTAAAGCTCCAGTGTGTAATAGTAAATTTCTGTGTATCCTATTCACAAACGTGCCCTTTTCATTAATATTTCTCAGCAACATCAATACTAAGTATTCCCAACAAAGTTCCTTCTCTTCTCTTCCCGCAGCTTGCTGTCTCTCTCCCAACACACTCCATCACTCGTCCACTAGCCGGTGGCTGAGTCAGCATTGTTTACTCCATCTCTTGTCGAGCGAGCGCTCAGCCTTTCTGGTGGTTCCAAGCCAGAAAAGGCATATGTGAGCAAAATAGCATCACATAACCAGCAAGAGAAGTGCTGTGAAGACAGAGGCTGTCCAATTATCCCTTTAATGCACAAAAAGGTGCTGCGAAGGGCGGAGATGCAGGAGATGTGACATCTGAGCGCGTGCACCGTACGCAGCAGATGAGATGCTGCCTCCTCTTCAGAATCATGAGGAGAAAATAATCAGTCCAGTGTAATATGTCTGAACCTGAAAGAGCTGGTGAGGCTCTTGGGCTTGAACGATAGATTGGGGAACAAAACAACAGAGCCTTCGTCTTCCTGAGAAAAGATTGGGCCAAAGAAAGGGGAGCCAGGTCGCTCACTCTCTTAAATGATGTCAGAGCCAGCAGCAGGTCGGTTTTAAAGCCTAATTTATACTTCTCCGTCAGCTCTATGAGGGAGAGACATGCTCGCACAGACGGAGACAACTTGCTCTCATACTTCTTCATCTCCTGGGGGGTGTTGCAAAGAAATTCCCCGCCAGGACAACAGAGGGCGTAGCGCTGTTCTGTGGTATCCTGTCATATATCCGATCCAAGATAGTGTGTTTGTATTGTTTTTTTTTTTCGTATTTAAGAGACTTTTTAACACAGACATATTTGTCCCTCATTCATGCGCTCGCCACCTCTAAACCCACGTTTCCTGTCATTTCCGTCCACGAATAAAACGCTTACTGCGTATCTCCAGTCACGGGGAATAAAACGTTCATAGTTTGAGAGTTTTTCCGAGAGGTATTCTTCAAGCTTCCCCATGTCTGCCGCTAGATATCCTCGGCTCTCTTTATGTTTTTGAGGGCGCAATGGCGGTGCTAGACGACAGTGGTGTCCTGACCGATCACAAGCTTGCGTTCTCCGTCTCGACGGACGGATATTTAGAAAAGACAGCTCGACTCCATCTGTCCTTGCGAGCCTGTTGAAGAGCCTTCAAAACCAAGGATAAAGCCATTGCGTGTCCATCCCGACGCAGACGAAGTATGAATTAGGCTTAACCCTTATATAACCCTTTAATTTTCTAACGTTTTGGTCTTTTGAGCACATAAAATACACTAAGGTCGTATAAGGGTTAAGAGATAGCCTGAGTCAAATCGCGTAGAACCAGAGCCGTGTCCCAGTGGGGCACTAGTGAACAGGACACAGGTCTGTGACACCCTTCAGAAAGTGTTTAGTGAGGCGATGACTGTAAACAGATCTGTCCCCGAACCCTTGGTGACAGGAGGAAACAACTGAAGCATACAGGTCCTTCTCAAAAAATTTGCATATTGTGAAAAAGTTCATTATTGTCTGTAATGTACTGATAAACATTATACTTTCATATATATTAGATTCATTACACACAACTGAAGTAGTTCAAGTCTTTTATTGTTTCTAATATTGATGATGTTGGCATACAGCTCATGAAAACCCAAAATTCAAATGTCAAAAAATTAGCATATTTCATCCAACCAATAAAACAAAAATGTTTTTAATACAAAAAAAGTCAACCTTCAAATAATTATGTTCAGTTATGACCTCAATACTTGGTCGGGAATCCTTTTGCAGAATGACTGCTTCACTGCGGCGTGGCATGGAGGCTATCAGCCTGTGGCACTGCTGAGGTGTCATGGAGGCCCAGGATGCTTCGATAGCGGCCTCAAGCTCATCCAGAGTGTTGGGTCTTGCATCTCTCAACTTTCTCTTCACAATATCCCACAGAGTCTCTACGGGGTTCAGGTCATGAGAGTTGGCAGGCCAATTGAGCACAGTAATACCATGGTCAGTAAACCATTTAGCAGTGGTTTTGGCACTGTGAGCAGGTGCCAGGTCGTGCAGAAAAATGAAATCTTCATCTCCATAAAGCTTTTCAGCAGATGGAAGCATGAAGTGCTCCAAACTCTCCTGATAGCTAGCTGCATTGACCCTGCCCTTGATAAAACACAGTGGACCAACACCAGCAGCTGACATGGCACCCCAGACCATCACTGACTGTGGGTACTTGACACTGGACTTCAGGCATTTTGGCATTTCCCTCTGCCCAGTCTTCCTCCAGACTCTGGCACCTTGATTTCCGAATGACGTGCAAAATTTGCTTTCATCCAAAAAAAGTACTTTGGACCACTGAGCAGCAGTCCAGTGCTGCTTCTCTGTAGCCCAGGTCAGGCGTTTCTGCCGCTGTTTCTGGTTCAAAAGTGGTTTGACCTGGGAATGCGGCACCTGTTGCCCATTTACTGCACACGCCTGTACACGGTGGCTTTGGATGTCTCTACTCCAGACTCCGTCCACTGCTTCCGCAGGTCCTCCAAGGTCTGGAATCGGTCCTTCTCCACCATCTTCTTCAGGGTCTGGTCACCTCTTCTCTTTGTGCAGCGTTTTCTGACACACTTTTTCCTTCCCACAGACTTCCCACTGAGGTGCCTTGATACAGCACTCTGGGAACAGCCTATTCATTCAGAAATTTCTTTCTGTGTCTTACCCTCTTGCTTGAGGGTGTCAATGACGGCCTTCTGGACAGCAGTCAGGTCGGCAGTCTTAACCATGATTGCAGTTTTGAGTAATGAACCAGGCTGGGAGTTTTTAAAAGCCTCAGGAATCTTTTGCAGGTGTTTAGAGTTAATTAGTTGATTCAGATGATTAGGCTAATAGCTTGTTTAGAGAACCTTTTCATGATATGCTAATTTTTTTAGATAGGAATTTTGGGTTTCCATGAGCTGTATGCCAAAATCATCAATATTAGAAACAATAAAATGCTTGAACTACTTCAGTTGTGTGTAATGAATTTAATATATATGAAAGTCTAACGTTTATCAGTACATTACAGAAAATAATGAACTTTATCACAATATTCTAATTTTTTGAGAAGGACCTTTATGCTTTAACAATGCTAAAAGCCAGAACTCTTGACAGCGGTCCATTGTCACAGACAGCCTTTTGATTATGCACAATAGGTACTCACTCTGAGTGCTTTGAACTCCTTAGAGGATGGTTCTAAAAAAACTGAGCTAGAGGTGATTCTTCATACTAACGAAATCCTTGTTCAATCGCAAAGATTAGATTAGTGTCAGTCAAAAAATACCAATGGAATCAAGTCTACATTACAGCTCACATGTGGAGACAGAACAAGTTGTGACACATGATAACGTGAGTATAATTTCATATTGACCCCAAAGTCAGTTTGACACAGTACATCAATAAAGTTTCCGTGTGACGCACCAATGACGCCTTGGTTCTTGTCATCACAGACGCTCCACAAGAGATCTCTGTGGGCATCAGTGATGTCGGGTCGGACTTGCCGGACAATGTGGTTCCAGCTGGCCTGGGTCAACACCGGTTGGCTGCACCCTTCCTTCTGCTCCTGCAGAACATCGAAAGCTCGTGCCATCTTGTACCGTTTGGCCCTCACCAGCTGCCGTATCTCCTCCTGTTTTAAAAAGGGATGATTCCATTTTGTCAAAAAGTACTAATTACTACTGTTGATTGACAAGGGTTTTACTGAGCTTGTAAATATTGAGAGACTTGGATTCAAATGTTTATTCAACTTCTTTCTCAAACAACAAAGATTTAATTTCATTCTTTAGTTGAATTTTAATTTCTGCAGTGTTGACCTTTCAGTCTGTTTTCTTTAAAATTTTATTCTAAAAACATTAATCCAATCTGACGTTGATTACAAAGCATTTTAAATGCTGCAAATCTCTACAAAAATATTAAAAACAGATCACTTATTCTGATGAAACAATTAGTATATCTGCGGTTAGAATTAGCTAAAAGGAAAATAAATTTTTGGTATAAAATATTGATCTTCAATAAGGGTGGAAACAGTTTTATCTTCATTCACTTAAGTAAAAAAAAGGAGAATTTCACCTTTTCTCTAATTTGCTGGTTAAACCAATTGGTAATCCACTTTTAACCATAGAATTTTTGCAGTCTGTTCATGACACAAATAACCAAGTTTCTCAATTTTATTTCTATGACACCAGCGAGAAACTACAACAACCACTGTGTCGCAATAAGGAGAGCTCACAGCATGACAACGATAGATCTCATGCTTTCTTATTATGGTAGCAAAAGAGAGAAGCTACTAAGTAAAAGAAGAGGCCTGTGGTAAATGATCCTAGAAGATAGATATTAACGGTAAAGGTACACACAGTCAATTATTATTTAAACTACTCCTGCGCTATGTCAGAGGCAGCTGTATGACTTGATGGCACAAGGACGACACATTCAGAAAGCCTTTTTCCTTCAGACAGACCATACCTTCAAGTATTTTTTGTAGCTGTTGTAAACAACAGCCAAAAAGACGGACATGAAGATGTATGTATTGATGAGGATGTACAAGATGAAGAATATGGTAAAAAGAGACCCGGCGTTGTATGCAGGCATCCTGTCAATGAGAAGGAGAGAATTATGAAGCAGCATCAAACACAGAGCTGAACAGCTGCTGGCTCTTCTTTTCTGCATCCCAGCAGTTTTTCTTCTTCCTCACACTGAAAGCAAATTTAATGCGTGAAAATAGAAGGTGGAAATTTTAACTAATGATTATTTCTGATAATTGGTTACTCTGAGTTTTTCATGCAGGCCAAACATGAAAATAGTCTCCTACACCAGTGTTACCCAACCCCGGTCCTCAGGGAACACTGACCTGCATGTTTTCTTCCTTCCTTCCTTCCTTCCTTCCTTCCTTCCTTCCTTCCTTCCTTCCTTCCTTCCATCCTTCCTTCCATCCTTCCTTCCATCCATCCATCCATCCATCCATCCATCCATCCATCCATCCATCCATCCAAATCCATCCATCCATCCATCCATCCAATTCAAGTTTATTTATATAGCGCCAAATCACGACAAGAGTCGTCTCAAGGCACTTCACATAATAAACATTCCAATTCACAGTTCATTAAGCCAATCAGAAATAATGTTTCCTATATAAGGAACCCAGCAAATTGCATCAAGTCACTGACTAGTGTCATACTAAGCAAGCATGCAGCGATAGTGGAGAGGAAAACTCCCTTTTAACAGGAAGAAACCTCCAGAGGATCCTGGCTCAGTATAAGCATCCATCCATCCATCCATCCATCCATCCCCACAACCTTTAGCAGAAGCCCAAGGTGCTGAACACAACAATAAACAGGCAATCACATCTGTAAAAACAATAAACAAAACAGAATAAAAATGGATGAGAACAATTGTTTGACAATTAAAATCAAGACTAAATTGCAGACCCCAGTGGTGAAAATGCCTGGACATAATAACGGGCTTTCAGACAAGACTTAAAAATGTTCCACCTGATTTACATTTCCTCCTCAGGAGGACATCAAGTGTTGCAGATGCCCGTTAATCCCCCCATTCATTTAAGTCAGGTGTGTGGCAGCAGGGAAACACTGGTGTTTAAGAGCAACATGGAAAGCATGCAGGACAGTGTGCCCCGAGGACCAGGCTTGGAGAACACGGTTCTACACCTATCTCCTGCATTAGCTTCTGATGGAAAATGAAAGGTGAACCCTCTGGGATTTGAAAAATCTGACACACTTGACCACACTGTAACTCACCATCTGGACTCCTGACGAGGAAGGCTGTTGTTAAGCGTCCAGGAAAACAGCAAAAAACATCCTTACTAGTATAAATTAATCTTTAGCTCTGGCAACTTTACTACACAACAGAAGCTCTTTCAGGCTTGTGTTATTTGTGCAGATAAATCATTAATGCTGCAAGTCAGTGGTAGTCCCCACCGGCCCACTTTTGATGTCCCGTAGTGATGTGTCGGTCGCGAATGAACCGGCTCTAAGAGCCGGCTCTTTGAAGTGAATGACGGGAGCTGGCTCGTCATTGGGAGCCGTCCCCTCCCCTCCCCCTTCCCCCCCTGCCTTGGTGAAAGCTACAGGCGATTGGTCAACATGTGTAACTGTGTGTCCAGACTGTCCACACACAGAGCAGTAGGGGCGGGGAAGAGGGAGGATCATACTCAGACAGACACACAGCAGAGCACATGTGGGAGGAGGGAGACAAGAGGGAATGAGGAGGAGGAAAAAGGCAAGCGAGAGAGAGAGAGGAGAGTGCGACAAAGACGGTGAGAAAATGAGCGCCAGCAGTCGGAAAGTGGAGATTTCTTAAAGTGTTCAGTTATTAAATCCATAGAAATGATAAATATTTGATATATTGCTTTTTTTTACATTAGTAAATTATTTTACATATAGTTTAGCATTATTTTGGTTATAAATGTACTCTACGCAACAGAAAATCTGAGGAGCCACTTGGGAGCCAAAAGAGCCGGCTCTTTTTGGTGAGCTGAGCCAAAAGAACCGGCTCTCTAAAAAGAGCCGGAATTCCCATCACTAATGTCCCGCTCTCTGGTGATTAAACCTTTATCCTTGGAGGGATACGTTTATTTATTCACTCTTTCTATAGGAGGACCTTTTTGTGGCATCCAGTGCTTTAGTGGACTTTTTTCCAGGGTACAGAGAGTACTGGAAGTTTTTCAGGTCATTTATAATTCGAAATCTACGAGATTTCTGGAAAAAACATCTGCCCGTCTCCAAGTAAATACCAGCCATCCACAGTGCCCCCAGCGCGCCGTCCCGCCGCTCCCGAACAGGCTCATTATGTGCTTTAGGAAGCTTAATTCATGTGGAAAAAGAGGCCTCCACTGAGGAGAACGTCTGACTATCGACGTGCTTCACCTCCTGTTCCACACTCTCTCGCTGCCGCGTCTGCACTCTGCTCCTCGGCAGATGCGCCGCAGACGCATTCTCTCTATGCGCAAAAGGCGCATCACTGCCATGAAGCGTGGCCGGCATACAGAACCGTCGGCTCCCTTCGGCTCAGGTAAGAGGAGAAAAAAAGAGACGAGTTTTCTGTCATCGTGCATGTTCCAACAATGGCTGATGGCACGCAGCACCTGACCAATCAGTGGTCAGATGTCGAAGCGATGGCATCCGAACAGAAATGCACAAGAAAGAAAAAGTCAAAACCAAAGGAGGAATGTGTTGTTGGAACAAAAAAGAAATACTTTGCGGACATAAACATGCCAGCTGCTGTTCATGTGACAGAAGAGACAGCTCATCATTCATTGTTGTTGTAGAGCAGCTGAGTACACCTCATGGAATTGTTTTTATTATGAAGAGCACAATATGGTAGAATGTGGCATCAGAGACTTATAAACATGCTCTAGCAGGTGAAAATGCACCAGGCAGTCAGCAATCGGCTCAGTGTGACGTTGGGACATGGGATTAAAGTCTCAGGTGTGTTCTTGCTGTGCGTTATTTCTAATTCCATGTTGTCGTTCTTTTATAAAACACAGAAACGGTTTTGTTACCTGTTATTGACGCTACAGTTACAGCTGCATCGTCGGAGAGGGGAGAGCGGGCAGTAGAGGGCGACAACGTCCTCCGCTGCCCGCAGATAAACGGAGAAGGAAGTGACGCGCCACCATCAGCGTCAGCCTGAAGAAGCCGGCAGCCGTCGGCGAAACTGAAGCGTCAATAACAGGTAACAAAACCGTTTCTGTGTTTTATAAAAGAACGACAACATGGGATGGGATTAAAGTGTTTTTGTTTGTTTTTCTATTACATGTGACCAAAACTCAGCAAAGGTATGACTTCATTCACGCTTTTGACTTCATGAAATTAGCTTTGTTGATTTTGCTGCTGAGTTCCTTGAGTTTTGCAGGTGTCAGGGTATCTGCAGGTTTAAGAGAGCCAAATTTAAGACTTTTTAAGACCTTTTTTAAGGCCACTTGGCCCAAATTTAAGCTTTTTTTAAAATTAAATTTAAGCTATAATTTCCAGCTATTGCCTGGAACCGGAGCTAACCACGTCACGAACGTGGGATTAGCCATCCAGTTACCATTAATGTTGCACTTCCCCATGGCGCAAACTCCCACTAGCGTGCTCATCTAAAAATAGCCCCCTTTCACAACCAACCGAATGTGTACGGTTCCGCTTACGCCAACATCATACACAAAAAATGCTGAACACTAACTAGAAATTCACGAAAATTTTATAGAGATAAAAGAATCTTGTTTATTGGGTTTTTGGTAATTTAAGACCTTTGGAAACTCTATTTAAGGATTATTTGTCATTTTTAAGGATTTTTAAGGCCTTAAATTTGGAAATGCTAATTTAAGACTTTTTAAGGACCCGCAGATACCCTGAATATTGTTGTAGAGAGGAGAGTCTGGCCTTTAATTTTAACAGCTCTTTCTGTGGATAGAATCATGTTGCATTGTTGGTATAGTGTGTTTTTCTCAATATGTGTAATATGCCAAGGCAAAACAGACACCTGCACGGTATTTTAAGTAAAGATGCTTTTTTTTTAATACTAGGCTTTTTTATGCTGTTGAAATGAAGTCCAAAAATGGAAGAAATTCTGTTAATTATTAATTGATTGCTCAAGCTACCTCATAGAAGAGCTCTGTTGTTTGAAGACAATTAAATAAAAAATAAGGATCATCCTGGACGAACATTCAGCTCCTTCAGTGGCAGACTGAGACATCCCAGATGTAACACAGAATGCTTTCATAGGCCATTCCTTGCCACTGCAGTAAGAGTGCATAACTCCTCAGTTTAACTAGTACTGGCATTATCCTGTTACACAAAAACATCAGTGCAATGCAATACTCAGCATGTGGTGGACCATTAGTATCTAGGGATGGGTACAGAATTCGGTACTTTTTAAGGTACCGACCGAATTCCATAGTACCGACCGAGCACCGATTCACGTCATTTCAAACGGTGCCTTGTTTCGGTACCCGTCCTTCATAACGAGAACTTGCCTAGACAGCTGCGCATGCGCAAGAGCATTTTGTCGTCGCTCGCTGAGAACCAGTTGTAAACAGAGCAGCATGGTAGAAAGAACGCACGCTAAAGCTTGGGTCCACTTCACTAAATGTGATGGGTAACT